GGGTTTGAACCACCAGCCTTCTGGTTAGCAGGCAAGTGCTTTAGCCACTATGCTACCAGAGCTCCTTTTTGTATTATAGACAAGTAAAAAAAAATGGATTAAGTGCAATTGATAGGCGTGTGCCACTCCTCGGAAGGAAGATGGGGCAATCTACTTGCATAGTGATACTGCCTCGGAAATCCAAGGAGGGGTCGCTATGAGTTGAATCTAACTTCATGGCAGTGAGTTTGGTTTTCTTTTGGTTGGATAGGCGTGTAAGATGAGGAAAAAGTCACCTCCCTTCTTACAATGTCAGGAAAAGTGTTCTAGAAAAAGTTATTACATTAAAACAAATGTCGATTAAATCTTATCAAATGATTCTCATTTCAATCTCACTAACAAAAATAATGATTGCATCTTGAAAACTGAGTAATTTACTCCTTTTTATATGCTTAATCCTATGGCAAAATTTTGCTTACATAATCCTGATTTAAAATGACTATAATGGAGAAGTTGTAAGAAAACAGGTATATCATATGTTACTACGGGAATGTAAATGAATATAATTTCTTTGGAAGGTAATTCGATAATACTTATTAAAATTATTAAATGCACATATCATTTGACCCAGCAAGTTCAAGAACATTTCAACCTTTCAAAAAGTTATCCTACAAATATATTAGCACATGTGTAAGACAATATACATAAAGGTTATTCATCTCAGTGATATTATTATAACAAAGGACTGGAAACAACATAAATGTCCATCAGCTAGGGTCAGGTTACATAAATTCTGATCTATCCATACCATGTTATATTACACAGTGATTGTGGGGAGGGAGGACTGAGGAAGCACTTCACACACTGACATGGAAAAATTTCCAGAATAGATCGTTGTACAGGAAAAATAAATAAATAAGTAGATAAATAACAATGTTATATTTGTATAAAACAAGAAAAAAGAATATATATCAGTTTTGTTTGTATAGGCACTAAAAACCTCTAGAAGTATATATATATGAGATTAAGACAGAGGTTATTTATTTGATGGAGAAGAACTGCATTGACCAGGAAGAGGTATAGTAGGGAGATTATTTTCACTTTTCTTTATGCTTTTTGATTTTGTTAAACTATATGGATGTATTTACTGCTCAAATTTAAAACAGTTTAATAATTAGAAAAAGGAGAAAATATTAATTGAGTAATACTTGGCTAGAAGCATTAAACAATAAAATTAAAAGCATCTTTTGATGATAATATATCACTTATTTGAAAAACAGCTAAATAAAATGTGCTCCTTAGTTTAAGGCTAAAAATCAGAAAGCACTAAAAAATTTCCAATTCAAAGTCTTTTTATACTTTTATAAGAAAAAAAAAAAAGAAACCAAACATTTTCAGTTTAATTTGTTGTTGTTGTTGTTATGTGCCCTCGAGTCAGACCCGACTCATAGCAACCCCTCCTTGGGTTTCCGAGGCAGTATCACTACGGAAGTAGATTGCCCCATCTTCCTTCCAAGGAGTGGCTGGTGGGT